AAGGTGTAATGACATTTCACTGACTGCGACAAAAGAAGGAATCTTGGAGATTATTATTTTGGATTCCCTGAAATTTGGTAAACAGTGCAGTATTGCAGCCAAGAGAATGCTGATAACAGAAATAGTAATGTTCTTATGCCCCTTTACAGATCTCCAAATAGGCTTCATTTGGACTACTGTGTGCAGTTCTGAAAACCATATCTCTTGATGGATATAATTAATAGTTAAAAAGCGAGATGGAGCACTAAAAAACCCCAACTTAACTACTTATCACTGTAAACGAAACTAAAAACACAATAGTGAAAACAAATGGAGAGCAAAAAATGGGTCGCAAGAGTATTCTGAGGACGGACAGCAGCTAAAATAACCTGCCCTTCGGTGGGTCCCCGCTCAGAACTCAAGCTGGTTTTAGCTCAACTTGTGCCATTACAGAGAGAACATATCTGAAGCATATCAGACTGGTCCCACACATACAGGCAGTCCAGATCCGAAATGCCAGCAAGTTCTCTCTGCACGAGAGATACAGCAACCCCAGACGATCGTTTCAGCCTTGTTAGGCATCGACAGTTAGGCATAGCTGATATCTCTCTAGGCACCGTGAGCAAGGGGTCCACGTCTGGATTACCCTTTAAACTAATGGAGAGCAAGAAATGGGTCGCAAGAGTATTCTGAGGACGGACAGCAGCTAAAATAGCCTGTCCTTCGGTGGGTCCCCGCTCAGAACTCAAGCTGGTTTTAGCTCAACTTGTGCCATTACAGAGAGAACATATCTGAAGCATATCAGACTGGTCCCACCCATACAGGCAGGCAGTCCAGATCCGAAATGCCAGCAAGTTCTCTCTGCACGAGAGATACAGCAACCCCAGACGATCGCTTCAGCCTTGTTAGGCATCATCAGTGAGGCATAGCTGATATCTCCCTAGGCACCGTGAGCAAGGGGTCCACGTCTGGATTATCCCTTTAAACTAATGGAGAGCAAAAAATGGGTCGCAAGAGTATTCTGAGGACGGACAGCAGCTAAAATAGCCTGCCCTTAGGTGGGTCCCGGCTCAGAACTCAAAAGCTGGTTTTAGCTCAACTTGTGCCATTACAGAGAACATATCACGAGAAGCATATCAGACTGGTCCCACCCATATGGGCAGTCCAGATCGAAATGCCAACAAGTTCTCTGCACGAAGAGCACAGCAACCCCAGGCGATGCGTTTCAGCTGCTGTTAGGCGTAGCGTCAGTGAGGCATAGCTGATATCTCTCTAGGCACCGTGAGCAAGGGGTCCACGTCTGGATTACCCTTTAGACTAATGGAGAGCAAACAATGGGTCGCAAGAGTATTCTGAGAACGGACAGCAGCTAAAATAGCCTGCTTGCCGGTGGGTCAGCTGAGAACCAAGCTGGTTTTAGCTCAACTTGTGCCATTACAGAGAACATATCACGGCATATCAGACTGGTCCCACCCATACCCGGCGGTCCAGATCAAAATGCCAGCAAGTTCTCTGCGAGAGATACAGCAACCCAGGCGATCGTTTCAGCCTTGTTAGGCATCGTCAGTGAGGCATAGCTGATATCTCTCTAGGCACCGTGAGCAAGGGGTCCACGTCTGGATTACCCTTTAAACTAATGGAGAGCAAAAAATGGGTCGCAAGAGTATTCTGAGGACGGACAGCAGATAAAATAGCCTGCCCTTCGGTGGGTCCCCGCTCAGAACTCAAGCTGGTTTTAGCTCAACTTGTGCCATTACAGAGAGAACATATCTGAAGCATATCAGACTGGTCCCACCCATGCGGGCAGTCCAGATCCGAAATGCCAGCAAGTTCTCTCTGCACGAGAGATACAGCAACCCCAGACGATCGTTTCAGCCTTGTTAGGCATCATCAGTGAGGCATAGCTGATATCTCTCTAGGCACCGTGAGCAAAGGGTCCACGTCTGGATTACCCTTTAAACTAATGGAAAGCAAAAAATGGGTCGCAAGAGTATTCTGAGAACGGACAGCAGCTAAAATAGCCTGCCCTTCGGTGGGTCCCCGCTCAGAATTCAAGCTGGTTTTAGCTCAACTTGTGCCATTGCAGAGAGAACATATCTGAAGCATATCAGACTGGTCCCACCCATACGGGCAGTCCAGATCCGAAATGCCAGCAAGTTCTCTCTGCACGAGAGATACAGCAACCCCAGACGATCGTTTCAGCCTTGTTAGGCATCGCCAGTGAGGCATAGCTGATATCTCTAGGCACCGCGGAGCAAGGGGTCCATGCCTGGATTACCCTTTTAGACTAATGGAGAGCAAACAATGGCCTAAGAGTATTCTTGAGAACGGGATGTAGCAGCTAAAATAGCCTGCTCCTTCGGGTGGGTCCCCGCTCAGAACTCATGCTGGTTTTAGCTCAACTTGTGCCATTACAGAGAGAACATATCTGAAGCATATCAGACTGGTCCCACCCATACGGGCAGTCCAGACCCGGAATGCCAGCAGTTCTTTCTCTGCACGAGAGATACAGCAACCGCAGACGATCGCTTCAGCCTTGTTAGGCATCATCAGTGAGGCATAGCTGATATCTCTCTAGGCACCGTGAGCAAGGTGTCCACGTCTGGATTACCCTTTAAACTAATGGAGAGCAAAAAATGGGTCGCAAGAGTATTCTGAGAACGGACAGCAGCTAAAATAGCCTGCCCTTCGGTGGGTCCCCGCTCAGAACTCAAGTTGGTTTTAGCTCATCTTGTGCCATTACAGAGAGAACATATCTGAAGCATATCAGACTGGTCCCACCCATACGGGCAGTCCAGATCCGAAATGCCAGCAAGTTCTTTCTTTCTGCATCGAGATACAGCAACCCCAGACGCATCGCTTGTGCCTTGTTAGGCATCACAGAGGCATAGCGACAGTTCTCTAGCAATCGCGAGCAAGGGGTCCCCACGCTTGGATTACCCTTTAAACTAATGGAGAGCAAGAAATGGGTCGCAAGAGTATTCTGAGGATGGACAGCAGCTAAAATAGCCTGCCCTTCGGTGGGTCCCCGCTCAGAACTCAAGCTGGTTTTAGCTCAATTTGTGCCATTACAGAGAGAACATATCTGAAGCATATCAGACTGGTCCCACCCATACGGGCAGTCCAGATCCGAAATGCCAGCAAGTTCTCTCTGCACGAGAGATACAGCAACCCCAGACGATCGTTTCAGCCTTGTTAGGCATCGTCAGTGAGGCATAGCCGATATCT